CAACATCTTATTTCCACAAGTCCTGAACAGTGGGCCGAAACTACAACTGTATAAAAAAACTATCGACATTCCGTGCTAAAATATAGATAGCTAAAAAAAAGCTGCGATATGTAGCAATCAAATAGCTATACACTTTTTGTAATCTTCTAGCTAGCTTAAACGCTACTGTATTAGGCACTTCAACATTTTTAGAAAAAATGTAAAATGAAAACAAAACAAACTTCATTAGTTTGAACTAAAAATCAACAGTTAAAAAATAACAAACTTATCGTTTTATTATTATTAGTTGAAAATTTATTTAACTTTTAAACTACAAAATTAAAGCTTTTTATTTTATGATTTTTGAGGTTTTCAGCAATTTAACGTTTTTAAGAATCGCATCAACGTTTTTGCTTTTATACAAAAGCAAAAACGTTGATGCGTTTAAACAAGACCGTTATTATTCAAAACTAAGAATATAATACCAAAAAAATTTTATAGTAAACGGAATTTCAATAATTAATTATTGAAATTCCGTTTACTATAAAATGTTTTAAAAAAGTTGTCATAGACTTATTATGTCAAATGTTGGTTGTTTCCTAATTAATTAGGAAACAACCAACATTTGACATAATAAGTCTATGACAACTTTTTTAAAACATTTTATTTAATGGTAACGCAAAAAAGGGTTTTTAAAAATAATAAAATGATTTTAAAAACTCATTTTATAAAACATAAATATCGTATAACAATGATTTTAAAAGAACTTTAAATGACTGTTTAAATTAATGTCAAACTGTTTAAATTAATATTATTTAAATAATATTTTGAATTTGAATTATGTATGAGTCAACCTTAGCCCCTATATTCATTTTGTTAAAATTTAAATATTGTCAATAGTGAGGAAAAACCAAGTAAAAATATCTCAAAAACGTTCAAAGTAACCTTACGGTAACATAATAAAAATTAAAATAAAAGAGGAAAATGGGAGTTTAATTATTAGAGTGCTATATATAGATCAAATAAATGCAATGTAATTACCGTTGCAACTTGGCCCATCCGTTTAGAGCTTTGAAAAAAGCTGTTGCATTCCGAAGGTTCATCTGAAGATCTTTTAGATGCCATTTTTGATATTTGATATTGATATTTTTAAAACAATATGAATAGTAGAGTGACAGAGCGAAAAAAAAATATCGATAAAATTGTCGGTTATGTAGAGTAAATTTGAAAATGACAAATTAAGTCGTTAGTAAAATATTGCCAAAAATCATTAATTGCATAATTGGTATTGCGTAATGCGGTATACTAAAGTATGTTAATTAAAACTTCTAGACAGCAATTTCATGACACGCGTTAATGCGTTTTTAATCAAGAAAAAAAAATTATTTAGGTTTTTTAAATGAAAAATAAACTTTATTATAATAAAGAAATAGCCCAACTTTATTTTAAAAAATAAAGTTTATATGGCTTTTTAAATTTTTTTTACAGATATAGCTATATATATATATATATATATATATATATATATATATATATATATTATATATATATATATATATATATATATATATATATATATATATATATATATATATATATATATATATATATATATATATATATATATATATATATATATATATATATATATATATATATATATATATATAGTTCTATAAATTGTTGGCTTTGAGAGTACGGAAGGTAAAAAATGATTCTTTTGACAACAAATTACGTCACTTTTAATTACTTTTGACATTCATCCAACATTTTCGTGTTGTCATAAAGTTGAAACCATTAGCTTAATTATTTTTTTTAAAAACCGCAAAAACGCAAATTTAATCGACCAGAAGGTTATTTAAAACGTTAAGAATGTTTTTTAAAAATATAAACAATGTTTTTATTTTTATTTTTTAAATAAAATGTTTTTATTTTTAAGTTTTTTTACTGTAAATCATGCGTGAGTGTTGCTACATCGACTACCTTAGCCTGACTGAAAAATAGCCTGACTCGCAAAGGAGTGAGTGTTGCTACATCGACTGAGGGTTTGGTTTGGGCAGGCAGCCTATCAAATAATAAAATAAAAATAATTAAAATAATTATATATATATATATAAATATATATTTATATATATATATATATATATAAATATATATATATTTATTTATACATATTTATATATATATATATATAAATATATATATATAAATATATATATATATATATATATATATATATATATATATATATATATATAAATATATATTTATATATATATATATTTATGTATATATATATATTTATATATATATATATTTATATATATATATATATATATATATATATATATATATATATATATATATATATATATATATATATATATATATATATATATATATATATATATATGACGGGATTGTATTTAGTAAATTAAAAACACTTTCCAAGTTTAATTATAAATAATAATATTGTATTTAGTAAATTAAAAACACAGATCTGTGTTTTTAATTTACTAAATACATCATTATTATTCATGGTTAAACTTAACTAAATAAAATATTATTATTTATAGTTAAAACTCACCACGTTCATCTACCATCTTACCAACATTTTATTTCCACACGTTTGGAACAGTGCGCATAAACTACAACTGTTTAAAAAACTATCGACATTTCGTGCTAAAATATAGATAGCTTAAAAGCCGCAATATGTAGCTAAAGACTTTTCGTTATCTTCTAGCTAGCTAAATCACAACTATATGCAGCTATCGACATTTTGCATTCAAATCGATAGCTAAAAAGCTGCGATATGTAGCTGTCAACATATCGTAATAAAATTCTTACTTTTAAAGATCTATTATTATTAACATTATTTATGGCGACCTTGTAGCTAGCTACAAAGGCTTACAAATATGAAACTAGCAATAAATCGTAATAAAATCGTTGTCAATAAAACTGCATTATACAGTTAGCAAGTAGCTATCAATTTGTGGCTACCTTGTAGCTAGCTATAAAGCTACAATATGTAACTAGCGATAAATCGTAATAAAATCGCTATATAAAAACTGCAACATATAGCTAGTGACTAACTATAGATTTATCGCTATCTAGTTACCAGCTAAACAATTGCGATATGTAGGTAGCGTCATATCGCAATAAAATCGCTATCTATAAAACTGCGTTACGTAGCTATCAACTAGCAATCGATTTTTGGCTACCTTGTAGCTAGCTACAAAGTTACGATACATTACTAGCGATAAATCGTAATTAAATCGATAGCTAAGAAGCTGCGATATGTAGCTATTGAATAGCTATAGATATATCGCTATCTAGTTGCCAGCTAAATAAATGCGATATGTAGCTAGCGTCATATCGTAATAAAATCGCTGTCTATAAAACTGCGTTACGTAGCTATCAACTAGCTATCGATTTTCGGCTACCTTGTAGCTAGCTACTTAGCTGCGATATGTAACTAACGATCAATCATAATAAAATTGCTGTCTAAAATAAAAATGCGATATGTAGCTATTAACTAGCTATCGATTTGTGGCTATCTTGTAACTAGCTACAAAGCTACTATACGTAACTCGCGATAAATCGTAATTAAATCGATAGCTAAGAAGCTGCGATATGTAGCTATCGAATACCTATAGATATATCGCTATCTAGTTACCAGCTAAACAATTGCAATATAAAGCTAGCGTCATATCGCAATAAAATCGCTATTTATAAAACTGCGTTACGTAGCTATCAACTAGCTATCAACTTTTGGCTATCTTGTATCTAGCTATAAAGCTGCGATATGTAACTAGCGATAAATCGTAATAAAATCGCTGTCTAAAAAACTGCGATATGTTGCTATTAACTAGCTATCGATTTGTGGCTATCTTGTAACTAGCTACAAGGCTACGATACGTAACTAGCGATTAATCGTAATTAAATCGATAGCTAAGAAGCTGCGATATGTAGCTATCGAATAGCTAAAGATATATAGCTATCTAGTTGTCAGCTAAACAAATGCGATATGTATCTAGTATCATATCGTAATAAAATTGCTGTCTATAAAACTGCTTTAGTAGCTATCAACTAGCAATCGGTTTTTGGCTACTTTGTAGCTAGCTACTAAGCTGCGATATGTAACTAGCGATAAATCGTTATAAAATCGCTGTCTAAAAAAATGCGATATGTTGCTATTAACTAGCTATTGATTTGTGGCTATCTTGTAACTAGCTACAAGGCTACGATACGTAACTAGCGATTAATCGTAATTAAATCGATAGCTAAGAAGCTGCGATATGTAGCTATCGAATAGCTATAGATATATCGCTATCTAGTTGTCAGCTAAACAAATGCGATATGTATCTAGTATCATATCGTAATAAAATCGCTGACTAAAAAACTGCGATATACAGCTAGCGATATATCGTTACAATATCGCAATGTTTAAAGTTCAATTATTTTCATAATTATAATAGATCCAACACTAAAAATCAAATTTTCAATGATGTTAAAGACTTAAGGAAAAAATTAAATAAGAAAAAAAAAATCGCTCAAAATTCGCAATGAAGCTAGCTAGTCGCTAGCTAATCGCTAGCTCGCTTCCCACCGGGATACGTTTACTTGTTTAAGTTTTTCTTTCCAATAAAAGTAATAAATTATCTTAAATTTGAACTTTCTTGTGACAATTGTTAAATAAACTTACAATAATCACAATAAGCAAACTCATATTTTCTTTTTTAAAGAAGGTTTTATCTGAAATACATCTTTTTAAATGTCTGAAATACATCATTTTAGATGTATGAGTTTCCAAATGGTAAATTTAAATTTTTTAGCGGATATTGACCTAATTTAAGAAAAACATTGAAATACCTTTATTTTATATATAGCCTGGTTCTTAGCAAATTTAACCAACATGTTTGCTGGGTAGAATGGCTCTTTGCAAAATGTGCTGGGCAGCCTAATTTTTAGGATTGTATTACTAAAAATATAAAATTTTAAATAAATTAGTACGATTTCTATTATTTTAATGGTTTAATATTTTTAGAACAATTACATAAAATATAACTGTAACTGTAACTTCAAATACAATAATTAAATTTAATTTTTCATTTCATCTCCAATTTTGTTCTGATCCGACATCAACGCAGTCGCTGAATTTTACTTTGTATGTACTTCCGTCGTTAAAAGTAAAAATGACTTCTTCGTTTGGTTGCATTGGTTGTCCTCGGCCATCGAAAGCATAGTAAATATTATCTCCTCTATGCTCGCCTGGTATCCCGTTTCTAGTTGCTTTGGTTACAATTTTATTGCGCGTGTTGAGAAGTCCAATGTTACGGTAATAATGATTGTTTGAACCAGTCCCAGGTTTATAATAGCACTGAAACTCTTTACCGTTAATTGCGTTAGCCGAAGATAGCTGTACGGAACATCTACAATAATATAGAATAGTTAAAAACTGAATAACATATTAAAAAGAAACTCAGAACTTACATGCGGTGTATTTGTTAGTAGCTTTAATAAAAATTGTTTGTAAGTTAGTGATACCCTTAAGTAATAAAACAAAAACAAATTGGCTTTAATCTATATATAGATATTAGATGTAGATATATTAATAGCGAAACTTCGTTAAGTACGAATTCCAAATATACTAAGCAATCATTCTTATTTCTTAAATGAGTATATTATTATAAAAATTAAAATAGAAAAATAAAAAAATTATCATAAACTTGCAAAGTTTGTCCCGGAGGAAGATTGTTTGTAGCTTTTGGCCATGTTGTTTCTGAGTAAAGATCCAAACCACCGCCATAATTAGAGTTTGTTATTATGACATCTAAGTTTCCATTTCCACAATTGATTTGCAAAACATGTCCACATAAATCAGGAGTAAATTTGAGTTTTCCTAACGCTCCTATATCACCGAGCGCAAGAGGGTATTTTACGTTATAGTTAGCACTTGGTAACGCACAAGCATCACCACCTCCATTAACATGTCTAGTAGCCAAAACATCACGTTTATTGACATTACTTTCAGTATTTACTCCGCATACCATGCCTTTATCGCTAGTTTCAATAGCATCAGATTTTGAGACAGGCCCATATTTCATCCAACAAGTTCCGCCATTGTAGCTGTTCCAGGAAAAATGAGTACACTGGGGTGTGGTAGAGCACCTGCCTCCACATTCTGCTCCTTTTATTTGAGCATTAGCCAAGTCACGATCACGAAAATCACATCCGAAAGCCCAGTTGCCATTCCATTCAATAGCTTGTAGAGAAGCAAGCCAAAAAAGTAATACAATAGCAATCAATTTTGAACTAAACATATCTAAAAAAGACTAATCACCTAGAAGTAAATTTTATATGCAATAATTGTGTTTCACATTTATGATAAAATACGTACTAAAGCAACATTGATATTATGTGTTAAACAACATTGATTGTTAAAACAAAATATTTGTTTTTCAAAGTGATAAATTTTTCAAAGTAATAAATATCATTTTATTACAATATAACAAAGTTAATAGTAGAATTAGTTTTTTGCATTACATAAAAAAAAAGTATTTAAATAATAGTAAAAATTCAATTAACGCATACATTACTATAAACTATGTTGTAGCAGAGCGCTGATTCAAACACTTTATTAATTTAACCACGAACTAAATTTAAAAAATAAAAACCGAACGTACGTAATTGACAAAGCTTAGCGTTGGAGTTGAAAATCAGCACCATTTATAATATAAATAAAAAACAGTTTGTAAAATACGTCCCTAAAGTGGTATAATAGTATTGTTTTGAACATTTTTGACTAAGGTAATATGTCCCAAAGGTACACATTACTTTTAAACTTACCTTTCATAATTAATTCGTATCGTTATAAAATTTAAATTAATTTTAATTCCTACAAACTAATAAAAGTTTTATTTGCAATCTAAACTAAAGACGATTAGAAACAAATATGAAAGTATTCAAAGATAATTTTTAGAATTTTGTTATTTATTATTATTATTATTTAAAATTTTTTTGATGACATATAGTTTAATTTAATTTATTTTTTAAAAATATTGTCTATAAATAAAATTTTCACTTTTTTTTTGCTTAACGTTCTCTGAGTAAGAATACTTATTAATGATACATTTGGGACTTAAAATGTAACTACGGGCTCGTGGTAATAATTTTGAACTGTTAAAGATCAATTACTTTCTTAATAAAGTATTTGTATAAAATAGTCTACATATAGCCAGTAATAACAATTTAAATAAAAAGTTTTTTATTCTTTATCTCCATTGCTCTTTTGATATTAATTATTTTGATTTATGATTACTGATTCCGTTTTATCCAGTTTTTGTACACCAAAGTTTGTATTTAATGCAAAAAAAAAATATATATATATATTAAAGTAAAGAATAACAATTGTTGCACACAAAAAAAAAAAAAAAAAGTTTGTGCTTTATTCTATCAGTAAATAAATGAGTTCGAATAACCTGTTCTCGTGTCAAATGTTTAAAGTAAAAATACGCTGCTAAAAATCTAAAAGCGGTATTATAGCACATAACAAGAGCACAATTGATAAAATTGAATTTCAAGCTTCTTGTTTCAATAATAAAAAATAACAAAAGCACATCACTTTAAATCAAATTTCAGTAATTAAAATCATGTTAAAGACATCACAAGTCCGATGGACGTCTTTAAGACGATTTTAATTATTGAAGACGTCTTACAGACGTCAGTGCCCGCAGGGTTGTTATGGCATAATTATGCATATTACACTGTTAAGTGCATATATTTGGATATTGCAGTTGGCCAAAGAGACCGCCAGGTTTTACGTCGCATCACTCAAATGAAACTTTTTTTATTCAAGAGTATTTGTCATATAAAAATAGATATTTATATTTTATATAAATATTTGGATTTTAAAATTCAAAAAAAATGTGCTAAGAGTCAAAAATAAGGCGAAAGAGTACTTTAGCTCAATTCACGCAAATTTGATAAGATATTTATATTTAACTTTATATATATGTCCCATATACAAGGCCGGCGCAATAGAGGGGTGTGGGGGGTGTCATCCCCCCCCCCCCATCAATGATTTTTAGTCGGCAAACTGGACCCTTAGTCAGCAAATTGGATCCTTGTTAGACAAGTTAGTCGGCAAATGTCGACCTTTTCGATATAGGTTAGACAGTCGGCAAATGTCGTCATGACAGTCGGCAAATTTTGGAAAACGAAGACCTTATTTATTTTTTTTGTCGGCAAAAGTGTAATGGCACCCCCCCCCCCCACGTGACACCTACTCGCGCCGGCCCTGCCCATATATATAAAGTTTATATATATATATATACACATATATATATATATATATATATATATATATATATATATATATATATATACAGGGCCGGCGCGAGTAGGTGTCACGTGGAGGGCGGGGGTGCCATTACAACTTTTGCCCACTAAAAAAAAAAAAAAAAAAAAGATCCTCGTTTTCCAAAATTTGCCGACTGCCATTACGACATTTGCCGACTGTCTAACCTATATCGAAAGGGTCGACATTTGCCGACTAACTAGTCTGAAAGGGTCCGATTTGCCGACTAAGGGTCCAGTTTGCCGACTAAAAATCATTGATGTGGGGGGGGGGGGGGAAGTCACACCCCTATCGCGCCGGCCTTGTATATATATATATATATATATATATATATATATATATATATATATATATATATATATATATATATATATATATATATATATATATATATATATATATATATATATGTATATATATATATATATATATATATATATATATATATATATATACATATATATATATATATATATATATATATATATATATATATATATATATATATATATATATATATATATATATATATATATATATATACATATATATATATATACAGTTTATATATATACATAGTTTACAAAGAGCTTTGCAAGACAAATCAAAAATTATAGAAATACAAAATAAGTAATGTAGGGTGGAAGTAGTGTAAGGTGGGGTTAATCTAAGTCTATTTTTAGCTGTTTTTGCCAAAACAATATTAAAATCATGATTAGACATAATTTTTAATAAATTACGTTATAAAAATTCTACATATAATTTTTAAAGTTGTCTAAGGAGCACTGGTTTGAGTTGCATTCAATAAACACATATTATCCCGTTTAGTGGGGTAATGATAGTCTAAGTCACTTTTTTTTTCTTTCGGTGAAAGTACTAACTTATGCCATAAGTTAGTACTTTCAGTTAGTACTTTTTGATCAAATAATTTAAATTTGATATATAATGACATCAATCATATTTCACCATAAGTTATGATAAAATATGATTGATGTCATTATGTATCATATGACATCAATCATATTTCACCATAAGTTATGGTAAAATATGACTGATGTCATTAGTTATAGTAAAATATGACTGATGTCATTATGTATCATATTTTAATTATTTGATCAAAAAAGTCAGGATATAATAATACATGTTTTAAATGCAAAATCACAGTACACGTTCAAAACATCAAGTTAAGAATACAAAATAAATTATTATTATTTTTTAATCTCTGATAGCTTTTTTCCGAACAATGTTAACCTTTCTTGCGGTTTAATTTCCACAGTTTTTTACCACTTGTCTAAATATATATAATAAATCACATTATAGTTCTACATAATAAATATATGATATTTAAATTTGAATGTCGAAATACTTATAAAAAGTCTAAGCACGAGGAAATTTTGTTTAAGGAAAAATTTAAAGCGGAAGCTCAATCAGGGGCGATTCTTAGAAATATGAGAGTAGGAGGGGGGAGCAAATCCTTAAAAAATACCGCCTATTTTTTAAAAAAAAAAAGTTGAAAAGGTCCACAAAACTAAAAATCACCCGACTAAATGTGTTAAATGCCCGAGTAATCAAATAACAGGCTATAACTTAAAAATCGCCATCTTTGAGTAGGAGGGGAAGGGTTTGACATATCACACCTACACTCGCAGAATCGCCCCTGAGCTCAATTAAAAACTAACCAAATGTTTTTGCGTTATATGTTAAAGGTTCATCCTTTTACAAAAACATTATGTCTTTATAATAAAAATTTCTATGCTTCGAAATTGCTACAATCCGTTATCTACTAATTTCAATAAAAAATATAAATGAAAAATATCTTTAACAGTCCTCTAAATGGATCAAGAGCAACATAAATCCAGAAAAATGAATCCAAAAACATAGCCTGACTTTTTATTTAAATAGATTTTTATTGTTAAAGTATTTATTGCTATATAAGTATAAGGTTCTTAACAAAATGACATATAGGCCATATTACCCAACCTGACTATGTTTTAAATTTTAAAAAAACTATACTTTTTCCGTTCTAAAACTAATTGAATCTTGTAACTTTTCTTCCAGATAAAACATTTTTAATTTGTTAGAACTAGAGTTTGTAATTGTATTAACTTTTTTAGAAAAACAGTAACAATATCTGTGTATTGTGATACTGTAATACGATAACAATAAATATTGTATTGCAATTCATCTTCATAAACCAATAACAATATCTGAAAAAAAAAAGATGTAATGACCCACTACAATAACAATAAACACTTGTAATTCATCTTTATAGTACAATAACAATTTATTTTTATTGTAATAAAAAAAATTATTGTAATTTTAAAATAAATAAATATTAGTAATAGCTGGACTATTAGTAAAAAATTCAAGGTCACATGACAAATGAAATAAAATAGAAATAGAACCAATAATTATATATTAGCGGTACCCTATTTCAAGTTCATGATTCAAGGTAACACGACAAGGTCATAAGACCTTGTCATGTGACCTTGAATCATGTGAATACATAATTATTGATTCTATTTCTATTTTATTTACTGAATACCACTTGTCCTAGTTGCAAACTTTAAACAGTTCTATAAAAAGTGAATTTGATCTGACCTGTTTTTGTTTTATTGGTGAGGACACACATTATACATGACCAACTACTACCATTTCTTTTACTTGGTTATTTGTTTTTACACTAGACACCTATCCAACTGTTTCGATAATTACTCAAATATATCTCTATTATAACTTTATCTTTTCTCTCCCTAATGCTTTTATGGGTGTATGTGTTTCATAAAATAACTGGGTTTTTAGGATAAGTTACGAAGTTACACAATAATTTTGCTACATAAATCAAGAGCAATATGTATTTGATATTCTAAATTGCCTCATTTTTCAAAAATGAACCCTCTACAAAATTTAACGATATGGTCTGATAGTAATGAGTAATTTGAAAAATGTAGAATATTTGTTCACATGCTTAGAGAATCTACTATATAATTACCCAGGTCAA